CGTTGATGTCATCGTGTCCATTCCGGTGACGGCCGGTGGAAATCAATATATCCTGATAATGACAGAGCACCTATCGCAGAGTCGAGCCGGAATCCGTGTCAAATTAAAGGGCGACCGCAATCACCGAAGTGATAATTCATCGCATCGTGGCCAACAACCTCCAACAATGAAATGACGTTGCGTTCGTCGCTTTGTCACATTCAAGCTTCGGATGTTTTGAAATCATTTTTCGCCGAGCTATTCGCAATAGGAAGCAGCATCGTGCTGCACTCAATGACAATCCCGATATTTCACGGTGTCCGGCTTACACAGTGATGGAGAATCCAGTATATTCTGAAACTCCAATTGATGTTTCCTAGAATACATGGAAGAGAAAAGTTTCGCAGCACTTCATGCCGATTAACTTCGTGACACGCTCAAATTCTCAGCCGATTCGTAATTTCGTATTGCAGCTGCAAACACGAGCAGACATAATTCTGAAATGTAAACGGACAGGAAATTCAAACCTCGAACGAATCCTTGTACCCCAAATATATCACTGCGTCCCTTCGCAGATCGTATCTCAAATTCGGCGGTTCAAAAATAGGAGAAATGTGAATAATACCTTCATGTAAATTCATACCCTCACAGACAAGCGAATTGCTTTCTTCTGCGGTTAATCGAGACATATTCACATTGTCTGTAAGTCTAAAATGTGTCACTAAATTGCTGAACAAATCAATGTATGAAGACATCTGTTCCCTTTCTCCATTTACTTTGTCCCGAAATTCGTTACATAATTATAAATCCGATTTTCTAAAACATAATTCCATTGTTGACACTGGTAGGTTTGTGTCTAGCATTCCACGGTCAGATCTAACAGCATTCTACCCCAGTAACTTGATAGTGCCTACGAAACTTGACAACCGCATATCGCGGGGGCATTCTCTACCCCTAGTTAGAAGATTCACGATTACTGCGAGATTGTTTTGGAGGTACCTCTTTTGATTGTAAATTTCAGTTTCAACCTCGGGACTACTGATTATCGGACTCAAAGTTCTGCGCTCACTGGGAACTGGTGTCAGCTTACTGACCTCTGTGAATGAAAATTAACTGAAACAACTGATTCCTAAATGTTCTGGTGCTACTGGTGCCATGCAAATACCCAAGGTGAGTCTCGAAGTCACAGGGGATCCTCTACTTCCTAGGAGCTGAACTATTTCATTTGACTTAAATAAACTTGCTCTTCAAGGATTAACTCCAGTGTGTGAGGAAGGAATATTGGCTCCTATCGAATCATTGAATTGGGCAACTCCCATATTTACACCAATAAGGGCTGACGGTATTACTCCGAGAATTTGTGGAGACTACGGGCCGACGCCAAATGCGCGGTTACTACAATGTTCGTGCACTGCGGAAGAGCCCGAATATGTACTGTATCGTTTATCGGGTTCAAGCATGTTCTCAAAAATCGATGTAAACAATGTTACTCTTCAAACATCAGTGGACGAACGCTTTGGCATTCTTACCGTGATCAACGCACGTTTTGCGTTATTCCGATACAATTTCCCTCCCTGTGGTTAGAGATTTTTCGCCAGCTGTATTTCAGCAAGTTAGGAATTCTATAACAAAATATTTGGAGGGTGTTCATACGTACCAATAAGGCGTCACAGTGCACGCTGCTGATAAAGCCACTCATGATATGCGTCTGGCGTCTTTACTAAAGCGATTTTCTCGGTTCACTGTAGCTATTCACCTTGGGTGTTCTATCATTTTCATGCTTTGGTTACATCGTGGCTGGCAGCGGTTTTAAACCCGATACAAACAGTCTATTTCCCCTAGTAAATGTTCCATCACCAACCAATCTACAAGAACTGCGTTCGGTTCTAGGAGCACTTCGGTATTACTCCTGTTTTATTCCCAATT